CTCTTTCCTTCTGTATTTCTGGTAGTTTGCTTTGCAGTACACTAAGTTTAGTACCACCAATTTTCCTGATATTATATATATATATATAGTATATATATTCATCCTAGACAAATCTCTTTCAGTTTAGCTTCAGTGAGATTGCACAGGTGTGAATGAGAACAGAATTCAGCTACAAATCCTAAAATATGCCAATATCTTGTAAAAGAAATATGTGAACGAGCTATTCATTCCCAAAACTTTCAAAAGGGTGCCCGAGGTTTCTCCCTTAGAGGAAGGAATCCAAATTAGGAAACTTAACTTCAGAAATGCCACAAGATGCTAGGAAAGCTTTACATTTTCTCTCATGAGACAGTTATGTTTTCCAAAAGAATGTTTCAGTCATATCAATTTTCTGTTCATTTTAGTTGGTTGGGTGACTTCACTTTTGAGATTAGATTTTCATTTCTTAGCAAGGATTTACAACATAAATATCTTATAGTGAAATTCAGGTGCAAAAGGTATTCCTGTATTAAAAATAAATACAGTAATGTTTTACAATAAGTCAAAATTATCAGACCTTCTTCTGGTATGTTGGAAGGAAAAGGGACATTATGTACATGAATTTAAAGAAAATATTTTTCCTCTTAAACTCTTGTGTGATCCATGAACTATATAAAAGCCAATTCAGAGACTGTGAATGAGGCTATACATACAGCACATCTCTGGTTTCTGTTAACATCACAAACAACTTGAGCTTTGCTCTTGTGGTTACCATGAAATTACCAGAGCCCTTCAATATATTTACCTACTGTATGTTTTATACACACACACACATACACCCTTCCCGATAGAAAAAAAAAAAAAAAGTAGGATTTCATAGCTGTGACAAGAACACAACTGGAGAGTTATGGTTGTTAACATGGCTATGATATCATTTCCTAAGCACATGACCTTCTGCTTGACACTGCAGAGGAAAATTAGCTGAGGTAATTGGTCATCCCCCTTGGTGTCATTGCTTTTTTTCCATTAAAATTTCAAGCTCCTGGAGCTTCAGCCTTCTTACACAGCACCTGGAGAAATCATATAAACTCAAATCTCCAAATTGCTGAGAGGTGTACTATCACTTACCCAATTTGGGTCTCCCATCACCAAATGTCTTGTCTCACACTGTTTGAGTCACCTGCCTATCCAGACTGGAGTCTGTTTCCAACAGACACACGTATAAACACACACAGCTTCTATTTGCGAGGACGAGTTTTGGTGCTTCACATGGGAAACAAAATGTTAATCTCTTTTAAGATCTCTAGATATGAAGTAATAAGTTGTTGTTGTTACTATATTATACAACATATATTGCCTTACTTTACATGTTATATTACGTTATGTTACGTTATGATAGAATCATAGAATGGTTTAGGATGGAAAGGACCTTAAAGATC